TAGAAAAACCTAGGCTTGGACGGGATTTTTTCACGCCTTCTGATGAATTTATGGAACTCTTCCAAGATCGTTTACTAAGCACAGATGAACTTACAGTTTTGGTGACGAAACGTTCATCAGTAACTTGCCAAGCTCGGTGGACAGAACAACGGCAATCTGATCACCGGCCGGTAGCAATGCTGCGGCTACCAATTTTTTGACCTGATAACGAAATGACGAACTTGTTATTTTGCTATCCATAAACTGCTGGGCATGTTGCATGATCCACTCGGGACACCATTCAAGTTTGTTTGCATGGGAAAGGTTTGAAGCGCCTACTTATCTGTAATAAAATTCCAGATGAATGGACGACTTTTGAAGTGCGTTCGTTATACGTAAATAAGCATGAATTGAAGTAACAGTTTCTTCTGGGCAGATGATGACCATTTGCGTCGAGGAGTTTTAAGTGGCAGTTTATTGATGTGCAACAACGCAAGGTCAACGGAAACCGTTCGCATTCCATTAAATTTCGAATGGAATGAGTCTAACCGAAGAGTTTGTAGGCACGGACAACAAACAGTCAAATTGTTAATCACGAAAAAACGCCAAAGATCTTTGGGTATACTTGGCAGAATGACTCTCGGTTGTCTTGAGAAAATGACCAAATCCATTAGTTGCTAAATTACTTACATCATATCAGAGTCTGTAATCTTTTCGGCCGCTGACTGACCTACCATACCAAGATGTTACAGCCGGCCAGATAAAATTTCTTGCCAACACCTATAGGCAACTATCCAAAAACCTACATAGAGACAGTTCCCAAAAGCAACACTGAATAATAATGAGACATCTAGTTCCAAGGTAATTAACATCGGAACTACCAAGAACTGGGCCACCCTGGTAGCCGTAATAAAAATGTTATCTGCAGTTACTATTTATGACTATTAATGATAATTCTTACCATGATTAGTTGTTACTATTCATTCTACATCTTCCTACCTATCTTACCGACAACTGGACTCGAAGTAAGAAAACACAGAGAGGGAAGTTTGGTTTCCACGGTGTCTTTTTGGATATTTTGGCAGACAATTATGAGGCACTCATTACAAATCCAAGTAAGTTTACTTTCTTGAGTGTGGCTCGTGAAATTGATTCAACGCGATGCCGAGAATGGAATGAATGCATATTATTATACCAGGGGAAATAAGGAGAAGCCGACGTTAATTTTGAAGATGTTACATAACAAAGGCTTGAGACATTTAAAACCCATTGTTGACTGTATTTTTACTCTGAAAAAGTTTCGCATTACTCGTAGACCCGATTGACCTATATAGAATTCCAAAAATGTCGAAAGGTGTATAAACTTGGGAGACTATGTTTAGGCTCGATTCAGTCATTTTAATGCTCTCATTCGTCAACTTAATATAATTACTCTGCACTGCAGATGGCAATAGTATAAACCGTTTTATATAGTGCACTCAACAGGATATCCATCATTCAACTTTATGCTTCTTGAGACTCAAGACTCAAGTAGCATGGCAGATTCAATTTGATAAGCTATTCCCCAGTTTACTAGATTACCCACAAGAACAATTCTCTCATAAACCGGTCTGTTCACATACATTTCGGACAAACCCCTTCCCGATAAAATCGAACGTGCATTTTGAATCCACAGAGGAGCCCTCGAGGTGTATTTCCGCCAAACATTATCTGCTGTATCCTTCTGTCCCGCATTGGTTCTACATACTGATTCTGTCCAAAAATTCCTCGGGCATGATTGGCGCTCGTGGATCGCCTAACAGTAAACATGTGGACCATTCCCTTGCAAAGTGATGAATGGATCACCTACGTGTATCAGATGCGTTAATTACAAATGGTACTTTACGACGCACCCTAAACCTATTTACAAGATGGCAATGAACTTAACAACTTGCAATTTGCAGACAAAACTGGTGTGAAATGAAAACATTCTGATTTGAAAGCCTGTAATCCTATTATTCCCTTTTCCGGTAGAGCTTTTTTAATGTGTTGGTTTGTGCAAATAAATCAAGGAGTTCCGCAATTCTTGTGTGACTTTGATCACTGTGTTACAGACACCATCGATGGAAATGTACAGTGTATGTTGAAGAACAACCAACACAAACAAATGTGTTGGTGGTGCCGTCATGGGGTGTCGTTACTGGGCACTTTCTCTCCCAGAGCCCCAACAAAACAACCATGTAATATGAAATCGAACATATAGCAAACCAGAGAGCCGTTGGGCCCAATTAGATGAAAGCTGAGCATCGTAGGAAGAAAATTCTAGGCCAGCGTGGTTGATATTTCATCCAGAAGAATGTGCGACAACGCACCTCTTGCACAGAAGGGCGCCACTATTCCTTTACAATACGACACTTGGATAGCCGTCAATAAATACAAGGAATTAGCAAATCTTATTGCCAGTCGGGAGTGATTGGACAAGTAAGTGGGTACAGAAAAGGCGCTTTATGCACAGTTGATTTTGCGATGGGTCTGAAGTATTTGCATTAACATCACCCTAGTTTCAACTGTTGTTCAAACTCTGTACGGTGATTACAGTTAGTTTGCAGTAAACTGAGGAGGAACTGTTAAACTTTCGGTAAGGTGATCAGGGATATGTGTTTGCAGCTACGAATATTATAGAACGAAGACGGAATATTCACCGATACTACCTCAGGCCTTTTCTAGACGAAAGCGCGTCATTGGCCGTGAACAGGCAAATGTGTTGACTCTTGAGCGATATGATGCCCCGACGCACAAATCAAGAAAGACTGTCTGACAAATCAGGATTGGTTTTGGAGTGTCATGGGAATTGTAGAATTTGTCGGTCCATTGTCATTTGAACAATCTTCAACCTGTCTCAGTGAAATGGTTCTGGCCAGTCCGATCTTCAGTAATACAGCAACCCGAGTCTGATACTCCTTCATTTAACTGCGTTGTTGCAAATGCTATTAGGCTGCTGAACATTCTGATGAAAACAGTCTATCGGCCTTCTAATACACGCAGCGCGACTTTCAATAATATGTGTAAAGTTATGGTCAAGGAAGCCCTAAGAATCAATCAAAATATAGTTCCCACGCTTTACTTAAGCAGACAGGCTTTACCAACCGTCGTTTGGAGTTCCGCTGAGTGCAAATATGTCTCAAAATGTACTCAGCGGTGGACACGCAAAGTGGATTTCGAGTAAGTTGAACTGTTCTACAACTAATGGTTCTGCTTGCCCTCGTTACATGTGCTCAGCGTGGTGAGCCTACTATTTCCACTGTCTCTCTTTGTGATGAATTATCTCTTTTTCGCGCCTCAAAAGCACCATTTATCATTGGCACTGAAAAAAAAGGAAAGCTAAAGAATGATGAGTTGAGTGAATCAGAGAAACCCACAATAAAATGCTGGGAAGACACGTGACAAAATGGAAACATTCAGTGGAACGAAGGAACCAATCAGGACAAAGAACAAAAAAAAACTGTACATGGAAGGTGCACAAACAGTACCGTTTCGTTGATGTTCCGCTGATGTTCCATATATCTCAACACAAACTGAAGTATACAGAATTTTTAGGTAAATATTTCATGAGCTGGAAGAATGGGTTGATCATAGGACTGTTGATGCTATGCATGCAAACACTGATTACTCCGGGTGATAGGAATATTTCAAAAATGAATTTCTCAGTAAAGTCCCTTTGATATATCATTCCTGATGATCTGGAAAAAGAATGCGG